AGAATCCGGGAAAAGTATAATAAACGACGAAAGTGTAAAAGAGAAAGCAAAAATTACTGGTAATAGGATGCAGTAGAGTGCGCAAACAGTTGTTAAACAGTTTCTTTTCAAAACCGATTAGAAATGTCCAAGAACAGTCCTACTCCGTACACAAAACGCATAAAAAACAGGCTGTAAAGGGCCACATGCTGTTCAGGAATACTAAGAAATTTGAACAGTCGGCGTGTCTGGGCGCTATCCACGGGCTTACGTCCATCAGCAGTAGTACCTAGTTCCTGACAAACCTGATCCACAACCATGCCAAATCCGCCCATAAATTTATGCAGTCGCCACCCCGCCCACTTTCCCCGTTCAATCCCTAACTCTGGAAGAAATGCCCCCCGTCCAGCGTCTCACAATGGGCTCAGTCCCAAACTGTCCGAGCATCGAAGGGACTTCTAACAACGACTGAAATGGGCACAGGCAGTGAAGTGACCAAAACAGAAGAGAGTTTTTCGCGCTACACGTTTTGCAAGGGATTTTGGCATTTGAAACAGCTCAGTACTGTATGTCTGCGAGCCAAAAACGCTCGTTCGGTGGGGTTAACTCAGCGAAGAAGAGCAGCACGGACTGCCTGGAATGCGAAAGCATGGGGAAGCGTAAAAATGAGTGCCGAAAACGAAGTACTCTGCCAAAACAGCGGTGAATTTACTTAAAGAAATTGCCCTAAAAGCTCAATGGGACGTAACAAACGCAGCTAAAACGTATGGAATCTGGTCAAAAGGAAGCTAAAATCAATTCATAATGCTAATATGCGCCGAAAAAAAAAAAAACTGACAAGAACGCACAAAATAGTCGCAAAATCCTTCTGTGCACGCATGCAACGCGCACCAACCAATCGATGGCTCCGTTTTCAAAGGCTGCGAAGAACTTCCTGGTATATGCCAGTACCGATTCAAAATTCCAGGAACAAGCGCAAAGCACCAAAAGGATATCATTTTTTGTACAGAAATGCTGGAAAAAGGAGAAAGCGGAGAAGTTTCGTTAAGAAAAGCTAAAAATTCGAGTGCGCTTCGCTCCTGGCTAGGCCGCTACTTACGACATGTCCGTACGCAGCCCCAATGATCCTTGCGCACTGCTGTCCGGTAATACGGACTTATGACGAGAGGCGTACAAATACACGCTGAAAACCGAACAGCACAGTTCCCGGGAAAATCATCCACAGCACCATAGCTAAAGCTGTAAACGCCCAACGAGTAGGTTCGGACTCGAGTTGCGAGGAACGCACATTCATCCACAGCGGAAGGCTGGAGCGCTGAAAAGAGCAAAATGTCGCAAGCAGTGAGCCAAAGGAGCACAGCCCGACTAGAGGAGAAGTGCGACAAAGCCAGGAGGGGAAGCATGGAATTTGTTCGGGACAGGTGCAAAAACCAGCGGCACCAACAAATCAGTTCATCGAAGGAAAAAAAAATCGAAACGCCGTAAGATCGATTCGAAGGTGGTGAGCTGTCAACGAGCGTTGCTACGGAACCTAAAAGACATACGATCGAACACACTGCCCCCACAACAACTTACCAAAGCGAACGTACCCGTACCCCTTGTTCGTCTTGCCAGAAGGAGCAGGCTTGTATTGAAGATGCGAAAAATCACTGATTCCAATAGAAAAGTGTTGAAAATAGTACAGTGACAAGCAGACCTACTGTTGTGCAAGTGATCGAGAGTCGGACACAGCCACAGAGGCAGTCATCCCGTCCAAGATTCGTCCGTTCGTTTCGATGGTAAATTGGTACTGGTAAACATCAAGAGGTTGTCATTAGCTTGGCTCTAAGCAATGTTTGAGAAGGGATCCATCGATTGCCGTGCCAGCAGGTGGCTGCTGACAAGACCGAATCATGTGAAAATGCACGATCGCAGTTATTTTCCTTCCTTCACATTGGCATGACACTCGCGTAGATCTACGTATTGCATGCATGGCGGCTACTTGACCATTGCTGCATTACTGAAGTTGATTTGTACCATTTAAAAACAAACGTGCCTTGTTGATATGATTGAAGCTAGCCGGAGTTGCATGCTGTCGTGCCTCGACTGCGCTTAGGCCGTTGCCACTCCCACACCACGATTCCAGACCTGGACAATTTATTTATGACGTGAGCCAGACCTAGACAATTTATTTATTACGTGAGCTAATAGTTTTTTAAAACTGTTTTAGTGTGCGTCATTATTTATGTCCTGTAGAAGAGTACAAGGGTTGTTGCACTCAGGAACTGGTATAATGCCCCTTGTTTTAACGGCAACGTTTACCTTGCACAGAGCAATTTAAAAGGTGGAGAAATCCAGATAATATCATCAAATTCAAAAGAAAGGAATGATGTTGAAGCACAGGAACGAAATCGGGGTGAAAGAATG